TTCCTTCCTTCCTCCCTTCCTTCCTTCCTTTCTCTCTTTCTTTTTTCTTCCTTTTACTTTCTTAATTTCTTTCTTTCTTTTTTTCTATCTACTTCTTATTTCTTTCTTTCCTTTACTTTCTTCCATGAATGAGAGAGACAGATAGAGAGAGAAAGAGAGGGAGAGAGAGAGAGTGACAGCATTCCTAATGAAGTCTTGATGCTGTAATTGACTCCCAGTTTCAGCCATTCCTGGATTATGGGCGTGTATGCCAAGCTCACTTATGGAGGTTGCTAATCATAACCTGGATCTTCATACGTAGGTCAGCTTTACAGAGCATTGCGTTACCACTATCAATCCCTTGACTCAATCCCTTGACTATGCTTCTTACACTCTTTTTGAGTGTCTGTGAAAGGGTAGTGATCTTGGGTCAAAGTATTACATTTGTCATTTACCCTATGTCATTCAATAATAGGCCAGAAAAATTAGGTTTTGATTGCGGAAGTGCATATAAATTGGGGTATATAATTTAGTTCTATTATAAAATTTTTTTCTGCAATGTTTGTTGCCTCTGGAGTATATTCACTTGGCCACATGTGCATAATTGATCTTTCCATTGTAACTCATCAGAGAGTAGATTTTCAAGAATCATTTCCTATTATCTGTGATAGTGAATGGAGACGTCTACTTAAGGGAAATATGAATTACTTTTGCTTTAACACTTCGTAGTTGGTATAGAACTTAGTCAACTGTGCAATACAAACTCAAAATTCAATTCAATACTTGAGTGTCTGTGACAGGCCTATTTGCATAGCAAACATGTCTTCAGCTCTACACTCGAACACAGAACCAGTGTTTGATGTATCAACTCCTTCCTAATCTAATTCCTTTTGCTCTGTTTTGTTTCCCCTCGAACCAGAAAGAAGAGCTTCACTTCTGGCCAGTGCAGGATGACATGTTACAACAGGAGCAATGTTCACCCAGCCACGTTTTTCCTCATTGGAATTCCAGGTCTGGAAGAGGTCCATGCCTGGATCTCCCTGCCTTTCTGCTCTGTTTACCTTGTGGCCTTACTGGGCAATGCCACAATTCTGTTGGTCATCAAGGCAGAGCAGACACTCCGAGAGCCCATGTTCTATTTCCTGGCCATCCTTTCAGCAATTGATTTGGCCCTTTCTACAACCTCTGTGCCCCGCATGCTGGGTATTTTCTGGTTTAATGCTCATGAGATTAACTTTGGGGCTTGTGTGGCCCAGATGTTTCTGATTCACACCTTCACTGGCATGGAAGCTGAGGTCTTGCTGGCCATGGCATTTGACCGTTATGTGGCCATCTGTGCCCCACTGCACTATACCACCATCTTGACATCCCGGGTGCTGGTGGGCATCAGTATGTGCATTGTAATTCGTCCAGTCCTTCTTACACTTCCCATGATCTATCTCATCTACCGTCTTCCTTTTTGTCAGGCTCATATAATAGCCCATTCCTACTGTGAGCACATGGGCATTGCAAAATTGTCCTGTGGAAACATTCGTGTTAATGGTATCTATGGACTTTTTGTAGTTTTTTTCTTTGTTCTGAATCTGGTCCTTATTGGCATCTCATACGTTTACATTCTCCGTGCTGTCTTCCACCTCCCGTCACAGGATGCTCGGCTCAAAGCTCTAAGCACATGTGGTTCCCACGTTGGTGTCATCTGTGTTTTCTATATCCCCTCTGTCTTCTCTTTCCTTACTCACAGATTTGGACACAACATACCACGCTATATTCACATCCTTGTTGCCAACCTCTATTTGGTTATCCCACCTTCACTCAACCCCATCATTTATGGTGTGAGGACCAAACAGATAAGAGAGCGAGTGCTCTATTTGTTTGCTAAAAAATAAGATTTCTATCTTCTTTCTTTACTAAGAATTTTGGTCCTCATTTGTTCTTCTCTTAACTATTCCTGTTCCTTTACTTATTGCTGTTTGTTTGTGATACGGGTAGGTTTGTCTCTGATTAATGCATTTTAAGACTTCTGCAAACTTCCTTGTATATAAAGTTTAATAATTGATTGTCTATCTTGAAAGGTCTCTGCCTGTAAGAGTTTATACAGAGTACTTGAAAGTGTAAGACCACTTCTTTTTTTGGGAAGAGAACTGATCTTACTGAGACATTTTGCTCTGTGATTATAGATACGTGGGCCTGGAAATTTGACCCTATAAACTCCTTCATTTATTCCTATATGTATCCTTTCTTCCTTTCTTCCTTCCTTTCTTCTTCCATTTGTGTTTTCCTTCTTTCCATTTTTCACTTCTCCTGCCCTTCTCTTTCATTCCTTTTGCTTCTGTTCCCTTCCTTTTTTCTTCCCTTCTCCTTCCTTACTTCTTTCCTTACTCTCTCTTACCCTTGTCTGTTTTTCTCTCTGTTGCCCTTTCTGTTTCTTTCATGAATGCATTCATTTGATTATTTAATTGCCATCATTTTTATTGTCAATCATAGTTCTTGAATAATTCTAATTGCTGATGATAAGTCAACACACCAAACTAATATAAATGCTTTTCTCCATGGAACTTGCATTTTATTGTATGTTTATAAGCTAAGTTTATGTGTTCAAAACAATTATTGCCAAATGTATATCCTGAATTGGAATCATTTGCCAAACCTTCAAGACTCAGTGCAATAGTAGCCAAAACAATCATATAATTTTCAAGTGATTTCTCCATAATACCAACAGTAATTTATCACTGATTTCCTTTTTGTATTCATATCCATAGCACAAGTGTGGTTTCATAACCTAGTTATATATAGTATTTCTGTTTACGTATTATATGTCCAGCTCTGATTGCAGTTTTACCTGCTTTTGTTCTCTCAATCAGCATTTGACCCTAAAATACTTCATTCTAAAAATTTTTAAAGCTTATAAATTTATTTCTTCTCTAAGTGAAAGAAACAAAGATAAGGAGACTGGCTCCCTAACTGGCTCTTAATGCCATAAACTACCATCTGCCTCAGCTGGCCCTGATTATGAACACACCCATGTCCTATGAGTTCAGGGTGGTCTCTCCACACTAATCCAGAAGCTTCCTATGTGGGTCTACCCTGCAGAGAGTATTGTGTTAATACTGTGCTTTTGTCCTTCAGTTTAAGGCTTATTCAAGGCTAATGGTCTATATCTATTTCTCACAAAATTTAGTGTAGAAGCTCAAGATTAAGTTATAGATAGTTACTCTTTACATGAACCTGAGGACTTTCAATTGATTTGCTTCTTCTCCATTACCTTTTTAAAAATAATTATTTATTTAATTTTATTTATTATAATTATTATTTAGTTTGATCAGAGAGAGACAGAAAGAGAGAGAGAAAGGGGAAATAAGAAAGCAAGCTATCAGGTCCAGGAATCAAATCATGATCTAGTCATGGGAGTCCAGCCTCTAAATCACCATACTCCCTGTCAGCTCCCTCCCTTCATTATCTTTTGTACCAACAAATTTGAAAGATAGTTTGTTTTTTTTCTCTGTCTCTTTCTTTCTCTATGTATGTGT